TTCAGGCGGAGTCTTCACTCTGTCGCCCAGGCTGGAGTACAGTGGCGCGATCTCGGCTCACTGCAAGCTCCGCCTCCCGGGTTCACGCCATTCTCCTGCCTCAGCCTCCCGAGTAGCTGGGACTACAGGCGCCCGCCACCTGGCCCGGCTAGTTTTTTGCAATTTTTAGTAGAGACGAGGTATCGCCGTGTTAGCCAGGATGGTCTCCATCTCCTGACCTCGTGATCCGCCTGCCTCGGCCTCCCAAAGTGCAGGGATTACAGGCGTGAGCCACCGCGCCCGGCCTTAGCAAGATAATATTAATTAAACACCCATAGATTTAACGTAGGCAAAAAGCATTTACTTTTATTGCAATGCATTTACTTATATCGCCTATACATGTCCTTTAACTGTAAATTATTTCACATGATAGAACCAAGTACCTTTTGCAGAACACATCTTTTTAATAACAATGGAAGTTGATGAGGAAATCAACATTTTACTCTCTTCAGGTTTAATTCTCCCTAAAAACACAAAAACAACAAGAAAAACACAGACAGACAGACACACAAACACAAAAAAATTAAAACAGCAACCAAACAAAAGAAAAAATTATTTTAAAAAAGATAGATAGATAGATTAAAGGCAAGCAACATTTAAAAATTCTGACTTAGATCATTCAGACCTTGGCTGGAGAAGCCTCCAGATCCCATGCTACTCACCTGCTGTCTTGGTTAGGTTTTCAAAGGCAGACTCTGAGATGAGTATGGAATACCATATGTTTATTAGGGATCGACCTTGTGAAAAAAAAGTGAAGAAAGTAGGATTGGACAGAGAAAGACGTTACCTGGATTACAGGCCTGACGACGCATAAACCAATCTGGCAGAGATCTCTGGAGCAAACATTGGCCATCAGAGTGTCCTCTGTCTGGCCAAAATGTCCTGGTCTTTACATCCCAGCCTCATTTTCCAGCTGCAAGCTGCCTCAGGGAGGATGTGATCTCTTGAGACATGGTTTTTTGCAACTGAGGCAGACCTTGAAGATGCTGGCACTCCCCAGAGCAGAGTAGCATGTTTTTTCTTAAAAGAAGATCTCTGTGTCTCCCACACCTGCACACCCCTGTTTGGATGGCGCTCAAAGATAGAACCAGGCCACATTCTTGGCCTTGGTAGAACTATATCTAGATTGCTCCAGCCAGATGGCTATATCTCCTATACTTAGAAGTACTATTTTGGAATTATAGAAACATGAAAATTGTGTTGAGAAAAGAATTCAAAATTGAGTTTAAAATCATTTATTAATAATAAGATACCAGTGGGAATGAAATGAAAAAAAGCAGAAAAAAGTTAATACTAATACGAGGTTATTGTTTTCATACTTTTTTGTATATATAGTGGAAATCACAAAATGAGACATACAAAGCAAGCATGTAGGTTCATAGAACTAGAAGGCAAATTAGAAAGGGGTACAGAGCCCTCCTGAACGCTAGGAGAAAACTGGTTTCCTTCCTCCATTCAGTCAGTTACAGACTCACCTGAGGGACTTTTACCAAGACATTTAAATTCTCTTTGCTTGCATCACTAATACCTGAACGGTATTTATAACAGGAATACTATTATGTAGAAATATGACACAAGGTACAGGATAGAAGTGGAGATAATTTTAAAAACCAATAGAATGACTAAATAAAGATTAGCTCGTCAGAGTTTAGCATGTCAGTCTTTTTTAACATCATGGTAGAGTGAGGCAGAAAATAGTGAAGATCTTTAATTGTGATTCCTGTAACTTGGTACTATGTACTGAGTTCATAAATTCCTCATCCCCTGGAATTTATCTCTATGGTTAAAACTCATTGATTTAGATCCCATAAATTTGTAATGTTGCAGTAATACAGTTGTAGTATGTCATTCTGGCTGAGAAAATATTTTACAATGGTTTCCCCCCTTATAAAGCAGGGGCCTACTAATCTCCTTCAAGCATATCTTCAGATTCTAAGCCCAGCAATTATTTCCATAGTGTCAAGCGTGGTCATGATCCATTATCATGGCCCAATAACGACTTGTATTTTTTAAACTAATTGACCTATTCTTAGAAAATATCATTTTTTCATAAAATGTAAATTATTTAGAAAATTACAAATAGCATCAACTTCAAAAAATGTATTTTTCACCAAAATTTGGATATGGGGTTTTCTGCTCCACTTTCACATCGTAGGTCCCATTGTAACCCCTTTCCCAACCCAACTAATGGAGCTCTGCCTATAGGCCATTCTGTATTTCAGAGAGCTCTGTCCACTCAGGCCCAGAAAAAAGATTGGTGCAATAATGCTAGGGTGAAAAGAGAAGGAAAAAGGAGGAAGGAGGTTCAGAAATGGGTAAATTATAATATCTAAACTAAATATAAACCTATATGTGCCCCCAAAATATCTCAAGAGTAACCAAACCAGGCCAGTTTCCCACAAACACTTTCATCCTTGAGTTCCTTTATGACAAGCTGTATTACTTGCCTATGGAAAATAATGCACATAAAAGCTACCATTTTAATAACTTTTAAAAAATCCAACAAATTAAGTTAAATGCTTTTATTTTAAAAGTTTAATGAACAATTACATTAGATGCCTGTAACTTTTTTTAATTGTAAAGAAAATCTTGGTCTTAGGCACAGTATCCATCATGAGTATAACAAGAAGACCCCCGTGGCCCTCCTGCTCTATCATAGTGAGCGCTGCTAACACTAGGCACTGGATGCCAGACCGTCTGCCACTGTCGTCCCCCACAGCTAGAAGCTCGACTGTCACCTTTGCCAGAAAATGGATTTTGTGCAGGACCTACTTCCTCTTATTGTTCTCTTCCAAAACAATTGCTCCAATTAAGGTGTACTGGCTGAGTCTAGGTCACATGTGTGCAAAAATATATATATATATATTTAAGGGTGCAACCTTGCTATAAGAGAAGCTTGGAAAGTGTGTTTGGGGCTCATACTTTGGAAAGACCTGACTCCTGCTATGGGGGATTCCTGAAACACAGCAAGGGTGTTCAAAAGGTAGTAAGTGGCCACAAAAACCTAGGCATGTATCTGTAAGAGTGAAATGCAACCAAATACAGATCCTGAAATGTGTGCATCAAATTACCGGTAGTGGGTGTTAAATTTTCCCAATCATGGAACTAGGGGAAATACTGGTATTCCCAGGGGAGCTAATGAGTCATCTGAGCACCTTTTGCTGACATCTTTCCTTGTGTCCTGGACTCTTCCAGATGGCAGGAAGTTCCTGCTCAGGCCTCTGGCCGTGCCTTTCTCCACGAACTGACCCTTGCTACTGTGCAGGGGTCAGCTGCTAGGCCAGCGGGGACAAGGACTCACCTACACAGGTATAACCTGCTCTCCATTAACAATCTGGAAATGTAACTGACACATAGTGGGGTAAAGAAGAGGTTTCCAGCCTTGTTACTCTGTATCTCCTAATTATTAGGTAAAGGGAAACATTATAATTGAGTTATGAAACAACTAAATAAAAATAGAATACCTGACAGAGAGCTGCTTTACCATGACGTTTCTACATAAGAATAAACAATGCGTTCTTTGTAGAGCTTAAAATAAAATAAAAAAAGGTTAGCTTTATTCTATAAACTACAATCTCTTGTTGTAACTAGACTAGTGCTTATATTTGTTGACATCTTGATTTATAAAAACCTGAACAAGTTCAGTTTCAGTAATTCTTTGTGTTCAAGGAACACAAGAGAGGGGGAAAAAAGATTGATGTCTGTCCCTAAAAATGGCATATGCAAAAGATTTAGAATTCTCTTTGTTCAACTCTGGGTCAGATTTCATGAAAAAGGGATTGAAATTCCTTTTGCTCCCATTCTTCATGCGTGTATGGAGGTTTGTGTTCCTAATGAGCACCAAGAAGCTTCCTTGCACAGAACTTTGTCTTTGAAAGATAAAATAACCTGTTTCCCTCAACTCTTCTCCATCCTGTTTCTCTGTTATTGACACACCCTCCTCAACCACAACAAAGAATGTGTGCTAATTGATTCACTGTTGAAAAATTCAATTTAATGCCTAGAAGTGGTGGCATGTGCTAAGTAATCAAAGTTGGACCTGAGCTGGGGAATAAAGGGGAGACTGGGTTCTGTTATCATTTTTTAACACTGAATCACTATGGGGAGGTAAAAGCAAGAGTAATTGTGTTCATGAAATGGCAAACAAGTGGTTCACCATACATTCAGATTAATGAATTTGGTGTTGTAATGTGCTTTGAGACTCTTTGTTTAGAAAGAAATATAACAAATGGAAGTGGTAATACAAAAATAAAACAATTTGGAAAGAATCCCATGTAAGCCATGCTTTTTCATAAAATGTTAGTGTCTTTACATCAAATGATAAAAGTAAAAAACAAAACAAAACAAAGGAATATTCAAAGTACAGGTTCTAGTAAGGAAAAGCAACCAGATGAGTTAGAGAAAAACTCTCTATTTGTGTTATTTACAGAGAAACTCCCCTTCTCTAAGTAGCCCCTTATCCTAAACGCATGTGATTCTTATAATGCAGTGCCCCCCTTATCCATATTTGCATGTGTAATTCCCTTTCCTACTATCGTCCACGGTTTGTATCACTAGAGTAACAATTACAATTATTTTAAAATTATTATTATTATTATGAGACAGGATCTCACTCTGTTGCCCAGGCTGGAGTGCAGTGGTGCAAATATGGCTCACTGCAGCTTTGACCTTCTGGGCTCAAGTGATCCTCCCACCTCAGCCTCCTGAGTAGCTGGGATTACCAGGATTACAGGCTTGTGCCACTATGCCTGGCTAATTTTTGTATTTTCTGTAGAGATAGGGTCTCACTATGTTGCCCAGGCTCGTCTCAAACTCCTAGCCTCAAGCATTCTTCCTGCCTTGACCTCCCAAAGTGTTGGGATTACAGGCATGAGCCACCACACCCAGCTGAGATTATTGTTTAAATGCTCTTTTCAGCATAGCACATTCACTTTTGCTACAGGTTCCATTTTCAAGCAAGGCATTAAACCTAATTGCTGATTCAGGCTTAGCATACCAAAATCTTGTAGATAAACAGTACTTTACAGATTACTCAGAGTCCCCCTTCTCTAAATCAGTTTCGGAACCAAAGAGGATGAATAGGGCTCAAGAATACCCAGAAAGTTGTGAGATGATTTAATGGATTATCCCAGTCCCGGAGCTGAGAGGGCCAAGAAACAGCCCCATGTTGCTGTTGCCTGGTGACATGTGCTGCCCCATCGCATGACACAGATGACGGAGAAATATGGTAACTAACATTTATGCTCTTCCTGCTCTTTTTTCTTGCTCTTCTATGGAATCAATGACTTATTTTTATTTATGGCATTACAGAGACAACAGATGACATTTCATGCTTTGTCAACAGAGGCATGCCCTTCATTTTTGCCAGTAGGAATGTCAAGTAACAGCTAATATCTTTGAACCCAAAGTTGCCAGGAAATGTGAGGGCAAAATTTGCCCCGACTGCACTGTTTCCAAGTCAATCAGACACCACCTGGAGCTCAAATGTGACCATGGCCTACTGTATCCTGATTATCCAGTCTATTACATTTCAGAATTCTTTTTATTTCCCTCTGTCAATCCCATCTTTCTCTTGGCTGCTGCGCTGCTCCTCCACCTCACTGAAGATCTAGAAGGAGAAAAAAGGTGAAATTAGTTTATTAATTGTGCTTTATGTTGGGGAAAATTATTTGGATCAAAGTATTTTGCAAAAAAAGTAGGGTCTGAACATTATCTGTGAGTTTGCATCTTTATCCCTATTAGAAAACCAAGTTAATTAAGAAATAAGCCCGGCTTGGTGGTTCACACCTTCTGCCTCACTTTGGGAGGCTGAGGCAGAAGGATCACTTGAGGCCAGGAGTTCGAGACCAGCCTGGCTAACATGGCGAAATTTTGTCTCTGTTAAAAATACAGAAAGTTAGCCAGGCATGGTAGCGCATGCCTGCAATCCCAGCTACTTGGGAGGCCGGGGCAGGAGAATATCTTGAACCTGGGAGGTGGAAGTTGCAGTGAACCGAGATCACACCACAGCACTGCATTCCAGCCTGGGGGACAGAGAGAGACCCTGTACCCAATAATAATAATAATAATAATAATAATAATAAATAATGGTACTTTTAGATGTACTTACCAACAAAAGCCTTACTGTTTTCAAAGTTCTTTCATGTAATTATTTATTCTGATCTTCCTAAAATTCCTGTGACATATGTTGAGCTGATATTATTTATTTTTATTTTAATATCATCATGAATTGTCTCATTTAGTAGACGAAAAAACTGAGGACAAAAATGGTTGAAGCTTGCTTGAGAATACCTAGCTAACAGTTGTGAAGTTGAGACTAGATACCAGCACTTCTGACCCATGGTCCTAGATGCTTTCCGCTTGATCGTCTGCCTCTGCTCTCTGGACAGTCGCACAATTCTTAGCTGGAAGGGTCTTATATACAACTGTCCCCTTCACAACCTTCTAGGTTCCAAAACTGCTGTTGTAGAACTTAGAATGCATTGTCCCACTAGAGCAATCATGCCTATGTTCTATAAACCCCTGTGTCCATTCTCAAAAATCTATGATTGATCCACAAGAGTTAAGTACGTTACTTCAAAACGAAATATGCTTCACAGAACAATATTCCCCCAAAAACTTTCAAGGAAAAAAGTTTCAAGGTCAAATAAGTTTGGGAAGTACAGCATATCATACATCCCTCTCAGAGATTCATAATGTACATTTGCATATTAAAGGCTTTAAGTTTTCTTTAAAGAAAAGAAAACTGCTTAAAATGGTTCCATTGAGAATTCATCAACTTTCTTTGATTTTGAAATCTTTCTAGTGAGTAAAACATATGAACACCCCAAACTACAGTTCCCCAAAACACATTTTGGAAATTGCTGCTATAGAAAAATAAAATGCATGACGATTTAAGATATTTGGAGCACTTTTTCCGCTGTGAGATTAAGGGTTACCCTGAAGGCAAGAGGGATGTTGGTGATCATTCCCTTGGTATCAGTCAGAGACTAGAATTAGTGATAGGTGTTGTTGGGACATACAAAGCAGAGCCAGACGTGGAAGGATAAGGAACACAATGATAAAGGTGAAGAATGATGCCTTGGAACACTGAGACGAGACTAGGAGGACAGGCTGGAGACACATAAATGGTGAGTGACAAGAGAGCGGCTAGCCTGGGATTTGTCCTGTCTTCCTCGTTCTTCTCCCTCCTCTGATCCTGCCACTACAGACACACTCCTGGACAAAATCAAGACTGGGAAGCAGGCATGTGGCAGAGGCACAGAGGGGTGGACCCAAGCATTGAGGGCTGCCATGGAAGGAGAAGACCAGAGGAGAGAAATGCCAAGCAGCTGGAGCAAAGAGGACATCTGGTAGGAGTAACTGGCTTCCAATTGTTCTTCTCAGGAAAGGATGAAAACCAGAGGCTGCTTTTGTACCCTATGTTCTCCAACAGTCGGGTGACCATCCAATTTGTCATCCATACAAAGACACTTTTGCACTATTAATCACCATGTGAGGACAACAGATGTAAACTGAGACTATTCCAGGCATGCCAAGATATGTGTTCACCTTATCCAATATTAAATGATAGTTGAAAGTATGGAGGAGTTATTTGGAGATTGTGGTGGTTCCTTTTTGGACTATGAACCATGGCATTCAGAAAAAAGAAGATAAGGAAGTATGTATTGATAATGTTAGTTATAATGACTTCCACTTTAAATAATTTATTTAGCCAAAAATGTTTTCATGACCCCATTCAGCAAGCATGTATTGGGCATCTGTGATGGGAAAAGCACTGTGCTCCATCCTGTGGGCGATGTGGAGATAAGCAATACACATTATGCTCCAAAGGAGCTTCTGGTCAACACAGTGAATTAGGGGATGTGCTCAAATAGACAAGTTGCAAGTCAATGATCACAGATGGTTATCAGAGCACTAAGAACAAAATGCTGGGAAGTTCTGAGGAGGGGAGGCTAGAGGACACTTTGGAGATTTGACCATGCTTGAACTAGGCCTGGCGGACAAGCTGATTATTCACAGTCTGGGGGCACAGGGAAGGGGAGATAGACCTTTCCAGGTGGCAGGACAGCAGATGCCCAGAAGAGTGTGTTTGAGGTGCTGATGGTGCAATTTGGCAGCAGTAGAGGATCCATGAAGAGGACAAGTGGGAGGTGAAGTTCAGAAAGTTAAGCTGGGCAAGCCGGTGTAGCGACTTAAATGCTAACATACAGCAAATGGATATAATAAATTCAAGAAATAATTGAAAACTTTGATTATATAGTAGCAGACTGGGACAACCACAAAGTAGAACGGTTGCTCCTTACCGCTCTGGAAAACTTTGGAAATGTTGGGGCCAGCTCCGCACCTTTACAAGGCTGAAGCCAGAAAGCTGAGGGACTTCAAAACATATGAGTAAATATAAATATAAAGATTCTTATCAAATCTAGTTTAGGCACTCGTTTTAGCTTTCTATTTCTGCTGTAAAACATTGGCTGGGCGCGGTGGCTCACGCCTGTAATCCCAGCACTTTGGGAGGCCGAGGCCGGTGGATCACGAGGTCAGGAGATCGAGACCATCCTGGCTAACACGGTGAAACCCCGTCTCTACTAAAAATACAAAAAACTAGCCGGGCGAGGTGGCGGCACCTGTGGTCCCAGCTACTCCGGAGGCTGAGGCAGGAGAATGGCGTCAACCGGGAGGCAGAGCTTGCAGTGAGCCGAGATCGCGCCACTACACTCCAGCCCGGGGGACAGAGCGAGACTCCGTCTCAAAAAAAAAAAAAAAAAAAAAAAAAAAAATCACAGATTTACTAGCCTGAAACAATACAAATTTATTCTTCTACAGCTCTGTGGGTTAGAAGCCCAACATGAGTTTCAATGGGTTAAAATCAAGGTGTCAGCAGGAACATCCTTCCCTCAAGCCTCTAGAGAAGTTTCTTGAGGCCTGAGAGAAGTCTCTACAGGTCTGAAGGAAGAATGTTCCTGGGTTTTCTCCAGCTTCTACAGGTTACTCACGTTCCTTGGCTCGTGGCCCCAGTCCTCCATCTTAAAAAGCAGCAATGGTGGGTGGAGATTTCACACATCCTATCACTCTGACCTCCTCTTCTGACTTCCTCTTCACTTTTAAGAACACTTGTGATTATATTTAGCCCATATGAGTAATCCCAGAGACTCTCCCTGTCTGTTGATTAGGGACCTTAATTCTTCTTTGCCATGTAAGTAACATATTCACAGGTTAACAGGTTCATGAGATTAGGATAGGAACATCAGGAACATCTTTTGGGTGGGGGGCAGCTACTATGCTGCCTACCATAGCAACCTAGCAGTTAGGATCCTCCATGATTTTTTGACTCTCCCACAACCCCTGCCCCAAGCATGGGCAAAATGCTTCATCCTGTATTCCTTAAGGCACCTGTAATACCCATTGCTGTATATAACAGACTTCTACTGAAGATGTGTGGATCACCAAGGGTGATCACAGTATCACAGAAAAGCACTTACATTTGAATATAATGTCTTTTTGCTCTAAGATTTTTGGGAGTTTTTTTTAATAGCTATTTTCCCCTTTGGTCTGCCCACTTTCCCTATCTCCAGGGAATTTTTCCCTCTTATTCTCTCTTCTCCAAGCCCCAGGCCTGCCAAAATACCTCCCTCCCAATCCTCACTGGAAATGGAAAATTCCTGTTACTTTATTATTTAAAGCAATTTGGCTTGGTTTATCTTAGCTTTTCCTATCCAGGCCAAATCCTGGGCCTTCCCCTTCATAACCAAAAAGATCCATCAACATCTTCTGAGACAAATTCTGTGTCTGCAGTCTGTTTTAATTCTTTTTAATAGGTACTCTTCTTCTCCCTACATGCTATCAGAGAAGACTTTAATACCAATTTTAGAAAGAGCATTCCCTTTCCATTACAGGCAGGTGACCTTCTGAAGTATGGAGACTAATTGGACGGTGGTTTACAAAGTAATGAAACTAACAGGCAAGTGATCACCTGGGATAGTGAAACCAGCCTGAGTCTAGGAATCAAGAGAGCTGGGTATCTTCTCCAGTCGTGCCTCAAATGACCTGGGGACTTTGTGCAAGTCACAGTCTCTCTGAGTCACCATTCTGTCATGTGTAAAATAGGAAAGTTGAATTCGATGTTCTCTGGGTTCCAAAATTCTAGTTGGTTAGATTATGTGCTTTGCACTTTCTTGACGTAGAGTTTGGCTCTTGGAGAAATCAGCTCTAAGCAATCTAGGTAATATTCAGCCTGTGGGTCACTCCTAAAAATTTAGAGGACTTTGATGAAATGATGAAGCTGGAATTACATATTAAAGACATACTTTTTAGTGCCTTAGGGATCTCTGATCATACTGTAAATGCCTCGTTGAATTAGTGGAGTTTATGTTTGTAGCCGGGGGAGTCTGACATAATAAGCAGTTGAAAACAACCAGTGTCACATGGGCTTCTGAGACCACAGAAACTCTGCTACTGTGATATCTGGTGTAATCCCCTGGGATTACACTCAATCTGGGGACCCTAAGCTTTTTCCTGTATTATTAAAAGGGCTGTTGGGATGGTAGCCAACCTGTAGAAGCCACAGTGACTGACTGAAAAGAGAAATATGACAAGAATCAGAGAGTTTTGGGGCAAAGATTAATTTAGAGGTTGCATATGGGATGGAATGAAATAGTGGCAAATAGGCAGCAGGAAAACCAATTAAGAGACTATTGTAAATGTTGTCATAATAAAAATGTAACAGGATGCTGGATGGGACTTTTCCTGTTGTCTCAGGGTTTCCGCTGAAGCACCAGGGCTGGAGACAATAGGCAGTGGGAATCTGCTCATTCTCATGACAGTTCCTGAGCACATCAATGTGGGACTTGCTCACCAGGTTTTTGACTGTGTATTCCATCATGCTCTCATCCTATTTATATGGGAAATTAGTGAATCATTAAAGAGAAGACTCTGACGTCTAAGGGAGTTTGGGAAAATGGAAAGTGCTGTGGTTTCTCTCTCCTCTCAAATCACATGCTCCCTGGAGTTTAAAGAACAGAGGCTCATGCCTGACTCTTGACTAGAGGTGGGCAGGGACAGAGAGGACAGCAATGGGAGAGCCTGATCTTCCAGAATTTGACAGGGAAAGGCAGGTGAATTTCCTCTAAGTTCAACAGATAACCTGAAGGTAGCTGGGTTCCAGGACTGCATGCTGGACCAGAGAGTATTGCTTTCTTGGGAGAAAAGTGTGGTGTTTGACATTCTTAACAGTGACCAGATGGAGGGGTGAGAGTCTCAGAAGAACCCACAAAAGTGTTCCATGAAAGGAAAGGCCAGCAGATGGACAGTTGCCTGGATGGAGGCCATTTGTGAGAGTCCATCAGGAGAGAACCGAAAAAGAAGTATGAGGACAGCAGCTATCATCTCCTCTGGTTGTCCATGCTGCCCGCCAATCCTGCCCCACGCCACTATCCTATCCTCAACCCTAAAGGAGCCAGAGGCAGGTGACAGAGAAGGTAGAACCAGGAGGGCCAAAGAGCAGATCCCGCGCTGCTGCCTCTGCTGATCTGTGGGATCCTTGGGCTGGCCTGAGCTGAGGAGAGGGGAAATGCTTTCAAGTGGGTGGAAAATGGAAGTTTTGATTTAGGTTGGACTAGATGTTTTCAAATTCTAAAAATGAACTGTTATCTAATATCTTCAAGTAACAGGAAAATACACAGAATCTGCCTGAGGTATCATCCAGGAGTAGGAAAGGGAGGTAAGACAGAGCATGTTTGAAGGCATGAAATTTAAAAATAAAGCTACTTTCTGTTCTTACCTCATAGAGTCCAGATCCAATAATGACATGATATGAAAACAATAATAAACAATGAAAATAGCAGCAATAATAAGAAAAACCATCTGTTGAGCATTTACGATTGTGCCAGACTGTTAGATGCTAAAGATGCATTAATTTACTTAGTCCCTCCAATAATTCCATAAGGTACCTTCTACTATTAAGTTTAATCCCATTTAGCAGATTTGAAACTGAAGCTCAAAGAGGTTAAGTAATCTGCCACAAAATAGTGTTAATAAGTAGCTAATTTCATATCCCATAATCCATTTAAAACTAGAATAGGGTGGCAGTTATAAAAGCAGAAGGAAGCAAAAAGTGAAAGAAGTCTATGTGTTTATCATTCTAGTCAGGATGTCATAATTGGCAAAAAGTGGTGATGGTAACACTTTAGTTATTATACAGCCCACAAGTAACATTTGTTGCTAAATATAAAACTAATAAATGCACACATTAGGTAATTTGCTTTTGTTGGGTTGTTGTGTTTGTTTTGATTTGATTTGTTGTTTGTTTTTGTTTCTTAAGAAATGTTTCTTGGTCATTTTGAAATTCCTTCTCTGGAATGCAACTAATATATTAATTGTCATTTATGCCATGTAGATGTTCTATTAGGGTATTTGATGGAAATAACTGAGCGCATGTTCATTGTTTTAGTGACAATGTAGCAGCTTAAAATAGACACCTAAATTCAAGAACCGCTTCTACACTATGAACTCCTTGAAGTAGGGATCTTATTTTCCTCCTCATTGAGCTCTAACCTGCATACTCATGAGGTGTGGACGTTTATTAATCTAGGACCTTTTCATTGAGAACCTGCTAGGTTCCAGGCACTGAGTTTTCTATGCATATGCCAGCGCACACCTCTTTATGGGTGTGTGTTTGCAGCCTCAGTCATACCCTTTCTGCCATCTATAGAGAATTCTGGCTTTTGCTCTGCAGCTTCTCCTCTTCTCTGCTCTCTGAGGCGAATCAGACTTTTTCCAGGTTCCTAGGCATTTCTGATGCAGAATTAAGAGACCTGGAGCCAGAGGGACAGAACTAATGAGGTGGGAGGAAGGGGAAAGAAAGGAAAGATTAGCCCTAGGAGAGCAGGACTTTGGGGAGAAGGATGAGAGAAAGGCGTGGCCATTCATGTTTCTCCCAATCAATTTGTCATAGATTACAAACAGGGTATCCTTTATTGTGCTCTAAGAAACGCAGGTGAAGAATGTGATTTACTTCTGTTTCCAGCCTCTGTCTCTTCTCCAAGAGAGGACCAAGTAGGTCCCAGTTTACATATATATTATTTCTAATACTTAAAACACCCTGACAGTGTAGGCATTATTGTTTTTAATTTCCAAGTGAGGAAAGAGCCTTAAAGCAGGCCAGTCATTTTCTCAGGGCTCCCCAGCTAAAGCTAGGGTTTGAATCCAGTTCTGGTGAGCCCAAAGCCTGCTGTCCTTCTGCAGTGCCACACTACGTCCCCATAACCATCTTTTGAACTGAGCTGAATCAAAATGCTTCCCTTGTGAGGGGCCTCTATTTATTCTGGTATCATACACAAACGAGCATGGCTTATTTCTGATATTTGATTCAGAAGAGAAAAGCTTAACTACTATCCTGGAAAGCAGGCCTGTCTTCTGTACTAAGCTTGCCTGTGGGCTTGATGGTTCATTTTGGAGTCCAATCACTCTGCACCTAGGAAATGGCAATGTTTACCACAAAAGGTTCAGCAAAGACTGTTGCTAAAATTGCTCTGTGGCCATTCATGTTTCTTAAAATCAATTTTTTGACCAGGTAGCTGCCTGATGCACAGAAGTGAGAAGGAAAAGGTTTCTTGAAACTGCCAACCAAGTTACCCCAGACCTTTCAATGGCTGGATAGTAAACAAAAATATATGCACTCGTTTTGGTGAATTATTATCTTAAATGGCTTGAAGGATGTTCTCATGCTCTATTGCCAAAGAAACCATGATAAAATTTCTTATAAATACTTCAGAAACAGGACTACCCACTCCCATGGAAAATGGATAGTGTATACAATGGACCTCCAAGGAAATAAGTGACTGTGTGACAGAAGATAATATACTCATTAAAAGAAATCTCTTTATGATCCAAGTCATAATTAATGAACTGTGTACATGAACAGGAAAGGGGAAAAAAAATGAATCTGACAGTCATATGAGGTGGTTTTGGACTGGTGTTCAGACACCATTTCCCAAAGTTGCATAAACTTTCTTTCTTACTGAGGAAACATTCCACAGGCATTAACAGTGAAGTGACTGCATCTATATTCAGAGAGGACATGCACAGAGCCATTATGGACCAGACAGGAATTGTATAAAAATGATTTGACAAAAAAGTCAGTCTGCTATGCCAAAATCCAGAGTGCTCTACCTCAAGGTGAATCATATTCAATTCCAAAATGTCAAGTAGATTTAGCCATTTTAATCTTTTTATTAGATTAAAACTTGATACCTTTATAAAAGCTAAAGAAACTGACTGGAATTACAGACTCCAGCACTGACAAATTGTGTGATCTCGGGCAAGTTGCTTGGATTCTCTAAGCCTCAGTTTCCTCATTTCTAAACTGAAGGTGGTGCTTATATTTATGGCAGGATTAAGTCAAATAACCCAGGCAAAGCTCTCCACACTGTTTTCAGCAGTCAGTAAGCACTCAATGGTAAGTGTTAGAAATTACTTATCAAAAGTAATAATAATTATAATAACTGATAAGTTTGCACAACTCATCAACATATAGTGCTAATTTTTTCATTCTGTTTTCCCCTTGAACTCATAGACAATATCTGACCTTAAATAATTGAAAAGAATGTGCTTAGAGAGGAAGCAAACACAGATCTGAAAGTCACAGTCCATGCAGTTTCTACATTGCTCTGACCTTTCTGATATTGGTGGATCCGGAACATTCAAAGTGCCATGGGCATCCTTCTTGCAGTATTTCCTCCTGATGTTTGAAAAGAAAGTCTGTTTTCATAAGACCTTGGGCCTGATTTCCAGTGGGAAAAGGGCTGAAAAAAATTTGGCTTCATTTCCAAGTATCTTTGCACATTTCCCCAATTGCACAGAACCTCCAAGCTTCCCCAGATTACCTCGTTTCAATGACATGGAATCTTTCAAAGGGAATGTAATAATTCCACAGAGGACTTAGCATTTCTGACAGCCTACCTCCCACTGTCCTCAGAGCTTCATAAATTATGCTGCCTCTGAATGTGAGCTGGGCAGCACCATTTTCCTGGCCCCTTGCGTGATTCATGGTTTCTCTTAACTATGTCAGTGCCTTGTCAGCAAAGCTGTTCCTTTTGGACAGTGTGTGATGTGATCTGCTTCTTGGAGGATAGCTTGCTAATTATGTACTGATTTTATATACTGATGATTTTGTTTTACAATTTCAAGGTAACTAATAACTATTAACTTTAGAAATTACTTCCAAATTCAGAAAACATTACCATTTAATTAACAATCTGCTCTCTGCAATACACTGTGACCTGAGAAACCACTCTAATGGTAATACACTGTTATCATTAAAATTAACCAACAAACCAAAAGAATGGTGCTGCTAAGGTCAGATATGGAGAGACAATAATTAAGAGAAAGTGAAACTAAAAACAAGTATCAGACCAAAAGATCAACACAGCACAGACAGCCGCTGTGCCAGCTTCCCTGTTTTGCACTGCCAAAACAGCTCCCTCCTGACCTGCAGTTCTGCAGAATTCCAAACCTAGGCCCTTCTGGAGCTCGGGGCTGAGAAAATGTGTTGTGTGGTTTAGTAATGGAGGCTCAAAGCAAAGTGGATAAAACATTCCTGAAAATGACATGCCTCTAAAGTTCCCTCTGAGGTATCTATAATCTTTACATACGAGAACGAGCTATACATTTTTATGAATAAGTTTTATCTTTTCCCAGCCTTCAGAACTTCCCACAAGCCTTTCAAGCTACACAGGCTCTTCCTGACTTAGGAAGCTTCCACTCAGGGATGTTTGGTGGCGGTTGTTCATCCCAGCACTTTGGGGGCCTTCCCAGTATTGCCCTTGCCCCTGGGTCCACAGGGAGCATCTTGTCATTGCCAGATGCTTCTTTAGAGCTAGGGAATGCAGAATTGGGAGAAAGAGGAGAAGAGAAGAAGGAAAATGGTACAAGCGATATATCTAGGAAAAAAGGTTTTCAGGATTTAGAGAAGAGAATTCTTGAAAAGCGACAGGATGAAGTCAAGAGGGGTACAAAAGGAGGCTGTGGACTGTGTGCTGACAGCATGGTGTTGGAGAAAGGCAAATAAATAACTCAATCAATTATTTTGAAATTACCTTTAAGATACTGGCTATGTTTCTTGGTCAACATGACTACCTTGAGATTAGACCTCTTGAATTTCAGCCTCAGGAGAATTTCTTTGGGAATGATTACTACAGACAAAAAGTTGGCACTACTCGGTTCTACTGCCAGAGTCCACCTGACTTCCGAGGCTTAGACACAGGAACCCTAGAGTCAGTATCCTACAAGGCTCCCTGCCCAACTCCCAGCTCCTGCTATTGCTCAAGCTCCTCCACCAGTTCCATCCCGGGTCTCTCTCCTTAGAGTGTGTAAGAGATCCAAGGCTTACAGAGAATAAAGGCATAGGGATTGTGCTTCCTTAGAAGGTTTTAGAAGTTGGCCCAGGACAGGCCGGGTGTGGTGGCTCATGCCTGTAATCCCAGCACTTTGGGAGATCGAGTGGGGAGAATCACCTGAGGTCAGAAGTTTGAGACCAGCCTGGCCAACATGGTGAAACCTCATCTCTACCAAAAATACAAAATTAGCCAGTCATGGTGGCGCATGCCTGTAATCCCAGCTTCTCGGGAGACTGAGGCAGGAGAATCACTTGAACCTGGGAGGTGGAAGTTGCAGTGAGCTGAGATCATGCCACTGCACTCCAGCCTGAGCAACAAGAACAAGACTCCCTCAAAAACAAATAAAAATAAAAATAAATAAATAAATAAATAAAAATTGGCTCAGGACAGAAGGCTAAAAGCCATTATGGGTTAAGTAGGGTTTTTTCGTTTTTGTTTGTTTGTTTGTTTGTGCTTGGCCTGATAATCTACCATTTTAAACATTGTTTCTGTTGGAAAAAAATGTGTTTTGATATCCCCAAAGTGGATATATACAGGGATTTTTGAAACAATGCCCAAAGTAGGTCTAGGATTGTCATTCAATGCTTCTTAGGTTACGTTGATGTTGATTTGGCTTAATTTTTATTTTCAAAGGACAGAGTCACCATTTATATTTTTAAAATATGTGTATGTAGGTATGAATATAAATAAGAGTATTGGATATACACCAAGATGTTAATAATAATCTTTAGGTTGTAATATTATAACTGATATTTTCTTCTCTGTATCTTTATATTTTCCAGAATAAGAAAACAATGAGGATTTTTCATTTTTAAGAAAGCAAGTAACATTGAGAAACAAAATTTACAATAGATTCAAAAAACATTATAAATACTTAGGAGTAACTTAATAAATGAAGTGCATAACTTCCATGCTGAAAAAGGATACAATATTGCAGAGAGAAATGAAAAAAGATTTAAATAGATAGAGAGATAACATGTTCATGGATTGAAATACTCAATGGTGTCATAATGTCAATTCTTTCCAAAGTGATCTATAGATTCAATGCGCTTTCAGGCAAAATCCCAAGAGGCTTTATTATAGAAATTCATAAGCTGATTCTAAAATACGCAGTCATGTGTCACTTAATGACGGGTATATGTTCTGAGAAATGTGTCACTAGGCAATTTCATCACTGTGTGAACATCATAGAGTTTATTTACACAAACCTGGTATAGCACACTATACACCTAGGCTATGTGGCATAGCATATTGTTCCTAGGCTACTACCCTGTACAGCTTGTTATTGTACTGAATACTACAGGCAACTGCAACACAATGGTAAGTATTTGTATATCTAAACCTGTCTAAACTTAGAAAGAGTACAGTAAAAATAAGGTATAAGAGATAAAAAATAGTATTCCTGTATAGGAATTTACCACGAATGGAGGTTGTAGGCCTGGAAGATGCTCTGAGTCAGTGAGTGAGTGGCAAGTGAAGGCCTAGGACATCACAGTACACTACAGTACACTATGGCAGACTTTTTTTTATTTTTTTGAGACAGAATTTCACTCTGTCACCCAGGCTGGAGTGAGGTGGCGCGATCTTGGCTCACTACAACCTCCGCTTCCTGAGTTCAAGCGATTCTCTTGCCTCAGCCTCCCGAGTAGCTGGGATTACAGGCACATGTCACCACACCTGGCTAATTTTTTGTATTTTTAGTAGAGATGGGGTTTCACCATGTTGGCCAGGCTGGTCTCGAACTCTTGACCTCAGGTGATCCACCTGCCTGGGCCTCCCAAAGTGCTGGGATTACAGGCGTGAGCTACTGCACCTGGCCCACTACAGTAAACTTTTTAAACACTGCACACTTAGGCTACACTAATGTATTAAATATTTTTTCTTTCTTCAATTATAAATTAACCTCAGTTTACTATGACTTTTTAACTTTATGAACATTATAAGGTTTTAACTTTTTGACTGTTTTATAATAACGGCTTAAAACACAAACATATTGTACAGCTGTACAGAGTATTTTCTTTCTGGCCAGGCACAGTGGCTTATACCTGTAATCTCAGCACTTTGGGAGGCCAAGGTAGGTGGATCACTTGAGGCCAGGAGTTCAAGATCAGCCTGACCAATACGGCGAAACCTCATCTCAATTAAAAAGAAAATGGAAAATATAGCTGGATGTGGTGGCACACACCTGTAGTCCTAGCTATTCAGGAGGCTGAGACTGAGAATTGTTGAAGCCTGGGAGGTGGAGGTTGCAGTGACCTGAGATCATGCCACTGCACTCCAGCCTGGACAACTGAGCGTGACTGTGTCTCCAAAAAAAAAAAACTTCTTTCTTTGTAAACTTGTTCTACAAGCCTTTTTTATTTGTAAAATTTTCTTTTTTCTTTTTTCTTTCTTTTTTTTTTTTTTAACTTTTGAAACTTTTTTGTTGAAAACTAAGACACAAATACACACATTAGCCTAGGCCTACACAGGATCAGGATCATCAATATCCCTGTCTTCCTCCTCCACATCTTGTCCCACTGGAAGGTCTTCAGGGGCAGTAACAGTCATGGAGCTGTCATCTCCTATGATAACAATGCCTTCTTCTGGAATACCCCCTGAAGGACTTGCCTGGAGCTGTGTTACACTTAACTTTGTTTTTTATGTTTAATAAGTAGAAGGATTATGCTTCAAAATAGTAAAAAGTATGGCATAGTAAATGCATAAAACAGCGACGTAGTGGTTTATTATCATTACCAAGTATTACGTACTGTACATAATTATACATGCTAGACCTTTATATGACTGGCAGCACAGACGGTTTGTTTACACCAGCATCACCACAGACACTTGAGTAATGCGTTATGCTGCACTGGCTATGATGTCACTAGGCCATAGACATCTTTCTGCTTCCTCTATTACAATCTTATGGGACCACCTTCTTATATGTAGTCATCAACCAAAACGTTTATCTATGGCACATGACTGTACAGAAGAAAAAAAACTGTTGATGTTTCCTAACTTTCCATTCCTCGCAGGTTATGACTCCTTCTGCTGCTTTTGACTGGGCCCTGCCTTCTTCCTCTGGTTCGGTAACAGGGCTCCCATTTGGAAACTGGTATGAAGGCCCCAGTTGCCTACTCAGAAACAGCCTCAGGTGTTGTATGGGCAAACTTTACCCTTTGCCTTATGTGGGTGAGCCTATTTGAGAACATCTTAATAAAACGTTTCCTGATCATATGGACAGAGGGATTTTTATTGTTGGGGTGGCCCAATATTTTCATGTCCCCGGATTCCTCCTTTATTGTTTCCCTTTCTCTGATTCCTTGTCCACCATCTGCTCCTCTCTCGTGGTTGTGTGTTTCTTCTTTAACGGCTGGGGGTCAGGTTAGCAGCTGCAGGAGAACTTGATTAGTGCCTTGTCTCTGTGCAGAAGCATTTCCCTGACAGCATTGATCCCAGTTTCACTTTGCAGGCAGCTCCACAGAGAGGCTTGTGCTGCAAGGGAGGTGGACTGTTGTCTGGTCAAGGTGAGTTTGGGGCAGTCTACTAATTCATTCCTCTTTGCTCAGCTGTTAATTTTGCTTAAATAAGAACTGCCTGCAAGTTTTCATTTAAAATCCACTGCCTGACTGAGACCTTGTGATGGCAAGATTCAAAGACAATTTTTATTGCTAAGTTATTAGTCCTTTGAAAGAAGGAAAATTTGATGTTTAATATTTAAACAGTTTCTATTTTGCAAAATTATTTGATATCTGAATGTTAACTGTGTAACCATTTAAGGTCCATTTCCACAGACTTTTCCAG